TCTTGCTGGGAGAGGAACAATCTGGTGGTGATCTAACTCACAAATACACTCTAGTGCACAGTCCACGGACGGTGCTACTTGGAGAAGTAAAAAAAGGCAAAGTAGACTTGAAATTACGATGCTCATTTCTTCAAAGAAAAAAATTCTCAGCTCTTCTACACAAAGTGTTTACGGTTCCATTTTCTTAAAAGAGTTTCCTTGAAAAATGACAGAAGGTCTCTATCTCGGAGCCATCCTCATAAACAACCCCTTTGTGAGAATCTTAATTTACATACAACAATGAAAACGAGGATCCTGTACTAATTAAGGTCTGGGGCTGGTTAGCAAATTGCTGTAATTGTATATTCTCTAGCATCCTGTCTCCGAAAACATCTCCTACCCAGGCAGATCTCGGCGACAACGGTACCGTGCAGGATTTTAATATCTCGGGCTTCCGCTGCATCTGTGCCTGCTTTCCAAGTGGCTTACTCCCTTGTGCTGGTGACATTACACAGACATTTTTTAAAAATGTTTTCAGCTTTGTCAGCCTGGCAAACGCATACCACAATCGGTGCTGTGAATGCATGGACTGTGCCTCCTGTACAGAGACAGGACTCAACCCGCGCCCATCACTCTTCAAGCTTCTAGAGCCAGACCTTCCAGGGGCTTGTCCTGACTCACACATAGGGTGGCCAAAGTCCTGCAAGAACTCTGCTGTGACCAACCCAACACAGAGAATGCAAACTGACAGGCCTCGGCCACGTATCTCAAGATACGTCTCGTTGAATTCGTCCACAGTCTTTGAAAAGCTGGCGTACCTAGACTACATCTCTCCTCTCTCTGTTAGCACATTTCTAAACCACGTAGGCCATATCCCTAGGGGTCAACAATGAAATGGAAGCACCCCCATTCACAGAAGCCCCCAGAATCCCACATGCCACTGACCTACTTGCTGGGCCCTCCACGCATTGAACTCAGAACCCATGGATACGGTCCATGGTTAAGTGAAAGGCTTGAAGCCAAAGACAAAGTCTGATGGCAGTGCTACTCCTGTCGACTCACAGGAGCCTCGGTTTCCTTCACTATAAGACGGGGACAGCGTACCTACACCAAGCCATCATAGAACCAAATGTGGTCATCTGCAGATTTTTTGTGGCCCAGTAAGTGCTCACAAAACACGAGCCCCGCAAACACCCCTGGCCCTTGGACACACATGTCCAGTGTCACCTCGAAACCCTGAAAGCTTTGTCTTCTGAGCAGTGAACACCCTGAAAAATGCCAAGGCTGGCATGATGGAAAGGGTGACGTGGGACGTGGTTAACAGGTGAGCTCGCTGGGCAGAGGGCGCAGGTGGAGATGCAGTCCCATAACCTGGAAGTTGTAAGGAGCAGACGCCGGAGAAGGAGCAAAGAATTCTGGGCCAATCACCAGTGTCCCAGGTTCCCAAGGAGAGCGCGGCCCAGGCCTGTTTTCTAACGGCCAGCAGAGTACCGCCGCCAGCTTCCCGAGATGCCAAGGTGGCCCCTTCCGCTCCTTTTGAGAACTCTCTCTTCCCTGGAGGGGACGGTGTGGGTGAGTGCCTTCCCTAACCAAAGGACAGACACATGACACATGGACTCTCTGTTTGTCCATGAGAGGCCACAGACTGACCCACTCCCCAGAGCCACCTGACCACCAGCCTTCCTGGGAGCCCGCTGACCATCTTCCTTCCTGTCCCAATGAACGAGAGCTGGCTGCCGCGGCTCATGACCAAAGAACCGGACGGGAAGTGTCATGTGGGACCAAAGCACTGACTTTCCCAAACAGAAAAGCAGGCTGGAGGAGTAGCCAGCGTTCACCGAGTCAGGAGCAGAGAGAGATCGGGCGCCACAGCCGTCCTGCCCACTTTCACAAATGTCCCATTGGCTAAGCACGGTGGCGCACACCTGAAGTCCCCGCCGCTCAGGAAGCTGAGGGAAGGGATCCCAAGTTCAAAGCCAGCCTCAGCCACTGAGTGTATACAGCTCTAAGCAGCTCAGTGAGACCCTAAATAAAATACCAAAAAGGGCTGGTGGTGAGGCTTGGCGGGTAAGCGCCCTGGCTTCAATCCCTGGTGCCAAATACACAAATGTCACCTTTGCCCACAGACTTGGGTTCTTGAGGTCTCGGCAGCCCAGTCAAGCCCAGGTCACTGCATGTGTCACTACCTCCCCGGGTGCCAGTGGCTCTGTGAGAAAGGTCCTGGACACAAAAGCCACCACCACAGCCACCCTCCCCAGGAAAGAGCACTCAGCTCCGCCCAGGGACAGCCTCCCAGTAAAGAGGAAGGTCGCCCTCAAAACAAGGTGAGCCCCTCCAGGGACTCCCCACCCAAGCTCCAGACACAGAGCACCTGGGAGCTCACCCCAGACAGCGGCGGCAGAGCAGCGCGCAGGACAGGCAGGGGCAGGGCGGTGCCCGGGACGGGGTCTAGACAGAGGTCCAGAGCCGTCCGCGGGGCCACCCTCCTGATCCTTCCCTGTTGAGCAGGGGTCGGGCTGGATACCGTTTTCCCAGCTGCCTGCACTCCCTCTTCCCAGAGGCTGAGAGCAGATCAGCGAGGAGGACCTGCCCTGGCGGCCCACCAGGACACGCCCGTCTCTGCAAGCCTGTTCCAACAGTGGCCAGCCCCTCGGCCCTCACCATGCCCAGCTCCACTCTGAGCACCTACGGGTGGGCAACTTCACCTCGGCACTAACCGTACGTCCTCGTCACCCCCAGGTGGGGAAACCGAGCCACAAAGAGTAAATACTGAACGAGGAAGGAGGCAACCCAGAACCAGGGGATCTGGCTGGGGGAGTTTGGCTTTTGAAACCTCTGCGGTTCCTGACCCCCGAAGGGAGAGGAGGAGTGAGCATGGAGGCCCAGGCCCTTCTGAAAAAGACATCCGCATTCTGGCACAGAAACCAACGAATGCAGTATGAGAGCAATACCAGAGCCATCAAGGAACCTTCTGGATGCTGACGCTGCTCCATCATCTTGAGCCGAGTGTTCGCTCGGTCATTCGTCAAGCTGTATGTCACAGATCGGGTTAACTGTGCACCAGGACATGGTACACCAAGGGCAGACAGCGGGAGCCACCTTTCTCCCTGCTGAAGGGGGGGACTTCAACTAGGGGGACGAGGCTAGAGTGGATCCGTGCAGGAATGGGAAAGCATGCAGTCAAGCGCAGGATCTCATGGTCTCACGTTTAGCTAACACGGATGGGTACATGCAGGACCATGGACAGACAGGTGCCTATGCCCTGGCGACCACACAGGTGAATGTTTCCCTGCTGTCAATCAGAGAACCTAGAAGCACAGACACCCAGGAACCGTGAGCATGCCCAGCACCCCGATCTTGACTTCTTTTTCTTTTTGGTGCTGGGATTGAACCCAGGGCCTTGTGCATGTGAGGCAAGCACTCTACCAACTGAGCTGTGCCCCCAGCCCCAGATCTTGATTTCTAATGCCATTCTCCAATTAAGGGAAAAAAAGAAAAAGAAAAAAACAGATCTAGGTGAGATGGTGCATGCCGTAACTCCAGCTCTCAGGCAGCTGAGGCAGGAGGATCTCAAGTCCAAGGCCAGCCTCCACGACTTAGTGAGACCCTATCTCAAAACAAAAAATAAAAAGGGATGGGGATGTAGTCAGTGGTCGAGGGGTCCTGGGTTCAATCCTCAGTTATGGGGAGGCTGGGGGGGTTCAACTTCCAAAATAGGAACAATGTGCAATAAAATAGATAATTAGCACTGTATTACAACCCAAAGTATAAACCAATTATCCTTAAATTCACACTCACATGAAGGATTAAATGAACAAACAGACAGGGCAGAAGAAACAAAACCTCCCACACAGAAAAGCTCCAAATAATTTCCTGAGATCCTCCGCCCTCAAGAGGTGGAGTGGGCCTCCCACTCTCAGTGTGGCCTGGGCGACCTCGCTCCAAAGGACACCATATGAACAGCGAAGGAACTGTCACCAAGGCCAGGTGGCCAAGGTCAACATCAGCACTGATGTAAGTCACACTGATAACGGGCACCCTTAATGTGACGGAAATGGCACTGTGCCTCAGGGGTTCTTCCCCCCAAAACCCATCCCGCCATCCTGAGACGCGCCACATGAACCCAGGCCAGGGGCAACCTACCAAACGCCTGGCCCACGCCTCAAAACTGTCAAGGTCATCGAAAGCAAGGCTGAAAACCTGTCACAGCCAGAGCCTGAGGAGATAAGACAACCAGGTACGGCGGAGGGGAGCCTGGAACAGAGAGGGGCCTCAGTGGCTAAACTAAGGGCATCTGCACACAGCAAAGGCTTTGTCGGTGATGACGTGCCACCCCACCTCGGATTCTGACAAATGCTTGGCACCCAGGATACTAGGAGCGGGGTGGGGTGGGGTGGGTGCGCAGGCCGGGAGACGTGGGAATTCTCAGCACTGTCTGCACGACTTTTCTGGAAATCTAAAGTGACTCTAAAACGCAAAAAGTTTATTTCAAAAGACAACAGAAAATGAAGGAACGACTCCTTCAGACCAGGCAGCCAAGAAAAGTCACCCTCGGGGACGAATCCAAGACACAGGCAGCCAGGTCCTAGGGCAGCCTGTTCCAGACAGAGGGCACACAGGCCCCAAGGAAGGCACAGAAGGAGGCCAGGAGCTGGGGTGGCGTCGGGAGAAATGGCCCCAGGAGAACAGGATGTCACAAGAGGAAGGGAGCAAGGCTGTCCCGGGAGGCAGGGCACAGGGACCTCAGACTGGAACGGAGGTGTGCTGGCAGGTCAGTGGAGGGGCCAGCAGAAAAGAGGCGCTTTTTACCATCCTCCTAGCTCCAGCAGGGAGAGGCCACGGTCACCCGAAGCGGTCACTCAGGCGGCAGAGGGGCTGCCACCTGGTGACGAGTCAGGAGCACCCAGGCGTGAGAAGAAGAGAAGAGGTCTCCACGCTCACAGGACCAGAAGAGGCGTCTCCACAGGCAGACGGGCCTGAGCAGGGCAGCGCCTGCTCTAGATGGTGATCCCTGACTGTCACCGTGAGGGTCCACGGGCCACGGCAGGCACATCCAGGATGGAGGCACCTCCTTGGAGCCAGTCTCTGTTCAGTCCTGCTGTGCTGCTGACCACCCAGGAGACCCCACCATCTGGAGCCTCAGGTTCCTCATCTGCAAGCGGAAATGACAGCTCCCACCTCAGAAGGGGACTGGCGGCTGAGCACAAAGGCGCTCGCCTACCACCCCAGCCTCCCGGGAAGCTGAGGCAGGAGGGTCACAAGCTCAAACTTAACAAGACTCTGTATCAAAATTAAAAAAAATTAAAAAAAAAAAAACAGCTGGGCGCAGTGGCGCACACCGAAATCCCAACAGCTTGGGAGGCTGAGGCAAGAGGATCTCGAGTTCAAAGCCAGCTTCAGCAACTTAATGAGACCCTAAGCAACTCAGCGAGACCCTGTCTCTAAATAAAATATTAAAAAGGGCTGGGGATGTGGCTTAGTAACTGAGCACCCCTGATTTAATCCCCGATACAAAAAAATAATAATTTAATTAATTAATTAGAAATCAAAGGGGATGCGGTGAGCTCGGTGGCAAAGCACCTGCCTAGCATGCGCAAGCCCTGCACCACAAAGACAAAGATTAGAGGAATTCATCAGGAGAAGGCGCCAGGTATGAGCCAAGCCTTCATAAGCTCTTCACAGACACAGTGCCAGTTTTATAGTTGTGGGGGAAGAGGGACCCGTAGTTTCAAAATCAGCACCCTTCACAATAAGAAAACAGCAGGTCAGACAGTCAGCAAGCAGCAGAGCAAGGACAAGGCCACCACGCCTCTCTAGGCTCACTGCAGCCAGCCACAAGCAGGCGAGGGGCACAACTGTCTCCAAACATGGCTCTGGGAAGGCACTTCCTCTGCATGAGGTACTCCGTGACTCTCCCCAACAATGGCACCCGATGGCCCCGCACGGGAAGGAGCTGCGTCCTCTCCTGCTCCACAGCACAGGCCACCCCCAGCCAGCCCGGCCTTGCTGGTGATCTGAGCCGCAGCTGGGCCCAAAATGCCATGCTGACCTGTCATCAGTCACTAGGGAAGCTGAGGCAGGAGGATCGCCAAGTTCAAGGCCAGCATGGGCAGCTTAGCAAATACCGTGTCCCAAAATAAAAAGAGCTAGGGGTGCAGCCCAGTGGTCAAGTGCTTGTCTATTGTGCACAAGGCCCTGGTCACACCCCAGTACTGCGAAAAATGAGTAAATAAGTGTGTGTGTGTGTGTGTGTGTGTGAGAGAGAGAGACAGACAGACAGACAGACAGACAGACAGACAGACGTGCTGCTTTATAAAAATCCTCAAAACATTTTTTTTGCTGTTGTTGTTTCAGGAGTCTTTAGGGAGTCACTTGTGATCCTCTGGCCAGATGAGAATGTCCTTCTGGAATAATCTGTAAGCGCCCTCTCTGCAGCCCCTCCCACCTCCCTGCAGGCAGAGCAGGCACTCAGGGAGGTGCTAAAGGAATAAAACACTGGTACAGCCATTAAGTCTAGGGACAAGCATTTTCTTTTTTTTTTTTTTTTTTTTTTTTTTAAAGAGTGGGAGAGAATTTTAATATTTATTTTTTAGTTCTCGACAGACACAACATCTTAGTTTGTATGTGGTGCTGAGGATCGAACCCGGGGCGCACGCATGCCAGGCGAGCGCGCTACCGCTTGAGCCACATCCCCAGCCGGGACAAGCATTTTCATCAACCAGACATTGAGAGAACTCAGCAGCTCTCTTCTAAAAGCACCCTGAAGAAGGAGTGAGGCCCTGCTCCCTCTGCAGAGGCCTGTGAGTCTCATGGACCAGCCGAGGAGGACCAATCCCTCAGCCACGGCGGAGGAGTCCGCTCACACCCTGAGCCAACAAACTGGACGTGCCCTCATGGGCCACGATTTGCCCTAAGAGCAAACACTGCCCCAGCATTCCAGAAAGCCCAGCTCTTCCTTCCCATCTCTGACCCAAGCCCACCGTTTCCCAAGGCACCAGGCCGACTTCTGAGATCCCAAAGGGGCCTGTTGCTAAAATCAGGAAGCCAGCAGCAGCTGCCCATCCCCAGGCCCAACACATGCCCAAAACCTAATGTTGGGACAATTCCCGACAAGTAGGTCCACCTATGCATACATGCAGGGGAAAGACGATCCAAAGATTTCTCCAGAAGTTAGGTTCGGCCATCAAAGTGTCCACATGTCACAATTCACGGACTGTTGCAATGCCAGCTCAGAGGGCCACCCTTCACGGCTCCCCAACAATAAAAAGAAACCCCCATTCCTTCCTTTGTGCAGAAATAGATAATGCAAGAATTTTACTCACCTTTGGAGCGAGTAGAAATATCCATGCCCTCTACCACCTCCTGTTCTGTTTTTATTTCCTCTTCAGCCAAGCTGAAATAGAGCAAATGATGTTCACGTTTAGGTGGGCTAGAACCTGCTGGGGGCAGCCGCTGAGAAGCCTAGCCACGGCCCACCGGTAAGACCAGCCCCTTCCTTCTCCACCTCAGGGGAAAGGACAAACCTGGTTTCAGTGTTAAGATTCCTAAAGGGCTCCTTTAAAATTACTATTCCAGTTGTCATGCTATTGGGTATGCAAAGAAGCGGATCTTTTTGGATACACAATTACAACCTACCCCTTTGTGCTCTTGAGAACCCAGCCTTCAAACCAACAAGCTTCTCACTGCCAGCACTGGGTTCAAAGTCAGGCAGCGGGAAGGGTTTGCAGAGTTCCCAGAGTTCTCATCTCTAAGCTCTGCAGTGAGTATTTCCCAGACCGCCCCCCGCCCACAAAAAAAATCTTACAATTCTCTGATGAGGCAGGAACACAAGGAGGAAAAAAAAAAAAAAGATACAAGTTAAATTATAAAGTAGTGAAATATGCCCAGACTGACTAGAAGAAGGAGCTGGTGGGGAAACAATTCCATCAATCAGCATCCACTCAACAAATTAGGGGTCTGTGCACCCCCCACCCCTCCATGGTGGGGGCTTGGCTCCCTCTGGAGCTGGACTAATTATCCTCCCCCACAAAAGTGGAATAAGGAAAGATCCCGCCAAGAGTCAGGGATGGAAGAGAAGGAAGGTAAGCAAGCACCTTTAGCTGGAAAGTCTTCCAGAACCTTCTCTCCCTCTCCGCTGGAACTTGGGCCATTCCAGATCTCCCCCCCCCCATACCACCTCCCAAGCCAAGCCCAGGGAAGAAGTGAAGTCGTGAGTTTACAGGTGTGAAGAAGGGCTGGAGGCGCTAGAACTTTCCACTCAGCCACCACTCAGAATGCGATTCCATCAGACCACAGCTCCACAAGGAGCAAGAGGAGCGTCGCCAACCGACAGGGCTGGAATTTTCCATTGGGAAGACTCAAGCCGGGGCAGGAAGAGGGCTAGAGAAGAACGTCCTGTCTGTGTTGGGCCGTCTGAGACAGTGACAAGGCAAAAAAGAGTCCAGAAAGGTGGCCTGGGCCTGGAACCCCAGTGTAGGATGGAGACGTGTTCAGAAGAGCCCCAGGTTTGCTGGGAGGAGAGTTCAGGATGGGCGGCAGGCAGAAAGGAAAAGTTGATAGCTCAGGGTTAAATCACAGGAGCTCCGGGCCTCCAGCAACTAGTCCCAGCAGAGGAGGAGGAGGAGGCTGGCCTGGGTTTAAATCAGGATATTAACACATTTAGCATTCCGATATTGGACCCCATTAACAACTTAATTTACACAGCATCTGTAGAGAAGCCAGTGACACAAATCACCAAAGAAACAACTGACACGTTGTCACAAATGGTTTTCGTCAGAAGAGAGCAGCCTGCTAAATTTAAACACCTCACTAACATACAATAACACAACGGTGACTGATCGAAGGTGATTTTAGCACCAAGACTCCTTTGCTCCAACTTCAGAGCTACACATCTCAGCCCACAACACACCGCTGGATCGAGCACACACACACACACACACACACACACACAGGTTGTGCTGCTGGGTTGGTTCTTGCTTGGAGTGACTGGAAATAGATTTTAACAAAAAGCCCCACACTGCTCTCAGAGATGGGTGGATGGTTAACTTCAAAAGGTTAAAGAGCAACCTTGAACTTTCTAGCAACTAGAATTTGGTTTCCCTCTCTAGCAAGAAGTCTGTGAAATCCTAAACTTCTTGAAACCGATCCCATATTTTGAATGATGCAGAAAACGCTAATCTGGGCTCCAACTACAACGTACAGTGGTGAAAGCAACAATTAGGCATAACAGAGCCCCAGAACCCACTTGAAGGATTTCTGCTGCGATGAAAACATTCAAAGGTGTATTGATCATGGAGGAGGAAGGCATTCAAGAGAACAATTATTTGGCTTGTAACAGCCTGGAGGAGCTGAATACTTGAGGCAGGAATGCTGCTGAGAGGCTAAGAAATGCAAACTAGTTATGGGGTAGCTGTTTGCTGCTGAGTTTAAGATAATCAATTCTGGAGCAAAAGAGAGGGGGGGAAAGTTGAGCTGTTTTATCCTTCCAAGTATTGTAAGTGGGCACCAAGATCACCTAACTTCAGCAACAGCACCACCAGCCCTAGCCCAGGATTTCAAGCACAACGGTTTGAGAAAACCATCTTTTTCACAGATGAGCAAGCCATCCTTTCAAAAGAAACCCGTGCACATCCATGCCCAGGCACATGCGCGCGTACACACACACACACACACACACACACACACACACTTATATTTGACTAAAGGAAATTGCAGTGCCTATGCATTAAAAGGGGGAAAAAACTTCATTTACAAAAGCAGAGACCAGAATGCACAATTAGTCATTTCCAATAGCCACATCTAAAGAGACTTCTTTTTTTTTTTCTACACCGCTGATCTCAGGGGTTTTTTTTTTTTTGTTTTGTTTTTTTTTTTTTTTTTAGTGTTAAGTACTGGTGTGTTGGGGGGGCATAACTATTGCATCAAAAGAGGTGATGAGAAAAGATTTGTATCTATCTGGATGCCCAACAGATCTTAGTCAACTTAGGTTTAAGAACTGTTAGGTCATTTGGGGGAAAAACAGGCAAATATTTGTTAAAAAGAAAAGGCAGCTGCATCTGGAGAGATGCTTTGAACTTCTGCCATTAACACATTAAGTCTTAGAAAATACATAGCTTCTCTCCTTCCATCTCTGCTAGCTTCCTGCAACCTGATCATTTAAATCAAAAACAAAGGAAGGACAAGTCCTGGTTTCAAACTGCCATGCCTTTTCTTTTTTTAAAGGTCTATTGGGGAGACTGGGGGCCGCTAAAAGAAAAGGGTGAGATTAGCTGAAAGCCACCCCACAGCCCCATAGGAAAATCCACCATCAACTAGTTGTATACATCACTGTAGCCGCGGCCACCACCACCACCACCACCTTTGGCACTCACATTTACCCAAGTCACTTGCCTGTGGATTTCACAAACTGATACAGTCCAGGCAATTCAAAGAAGGAAGAAGAACAGCACCTACAAACACAACGAAGACCATCCCCCACCCTGGCCCCCAAAAGAATAAAAGCTTTCCCCCCAATGCCAAATCAAGAAAAGTCTGCGCTTACTTCTGAACCTGCATGCACTGAAAGAAAAAAAAAAAGAGAGAGCAATTAAAAGTTACAGATGAACTGCTACACCTCCAGGATGCTTTAAGCCTTCTGGTTATTAATTCTGAGGACTCAGAAGGGCTCAGGGCTGGTCCGTAATTCCCAGGAATCTCATCCCTTCCACACTTCCAAAAGAGAGAGAGAGAGAGAGAGAGAGAGAGAAGAAAAAGCATCCAGGTTTGACAGAAAAAAAATGCCTAGATACACAATGCCCAGATATTTCTTTTCCCTAAGTGCCCTTTCTATTTGACTTTTAACCAACAATCTCTAACCCATCTAGAATATATAACCAGCATGCACAAGACCCTGGTTCTCAGAGGAGGCTCATCACACGGCGATTCAAGAATCATGCATCATTCGACAGGACTTTTCTTGGCTTTTTTACTTTCATTCAAAATCCCAAAATGGTCCAGGCTGTAAGAAATGTTTAATCCCCAAGGCAGAACATCTTCCTCTTCTAGAACACAAAACAGTGAACATCCAAATTTAAAAAAAAAAAAAAAAAAAACATGCTTCCCTAAAATCTGCAATTAATTTTTTTCTAAATTGGCAGGGGGAGGGAATGGTTAGCAGAGCAGCTTTGTATAAGCACTCACCTAAAACAGGCCGTCATCGGTGGCTAAGCTATTTATGCAGGATTCTTAAAATGGCGTCTGGCAACACTGCCTCATTCCTGGATTGAAGCTAAAATGGTAGCAGTTTGTTCAATAGCTGAGCCTGTGTCTCAGCAGCCCTGCTAGTTTCAAAGCCACCTTCCTAAATATCAGAACCAGGAGAAGCTCGACCAAAGGACACCAACAACCCAACGTTTAGAAGCTTAAAAAAAAAAAAAAAAAAAAAAGAACCTGCAATGACAGGGAGAGAGAGTTTGTGAAGTCGCAGGTTCCTGAGAAAAGCCTTCCCTTTCAGATTCTGAGCTTCCACAGGAGGCTCTGGGATGGGGCCTTCTGGCCCTGGAACGAGGTGGGTGGAAGGTTAGGAATCACACTGGCAGACAGACAGGTGTCCGTGCAAACAGGAAATGTTCCCAGGGAGCAGGCTGGGGGTGGGGGCGGGGTGGGGGCGGGAAGAAGCCCACTCCCCCTTCTAGGTGCAGGGCGGCCAGCTCTGCATCCACCCTGCAAGTGAGGTAAAATGAAAGTGCTTCTGGAACAGCAGGCATCTGGAGAGCTAAGCTGGAGGGCTGCGCCCCAGGCTGAGGCCAAGGTAGAATTAAAAGGCTGTTTATAAGCCTGAAAACGGCCAGCATCCACCCAGCCCTCTGCAGAGCCACCCCTAAGACGTGAACATCAAGGAGAGACAACCCCAAGTCGCACGTTCCCCTCTCCAAGGATCAGGATACTCACAAATTAGGTTTCTGTCCACCCCCAACAGGGCCCTGAGAATGAACAATAGGTTTTGCAAAACCCGTTTTCAGAGGCCAAACTAACAGCCTCGTGGTGGATAATGTCATTGACTGTTAAGGTCTGAGAATTGGCCTCAGGATTCCTCCAGAGCTGGGAACTGAGGAGTTTCAAGGTGACTGCTTTTTTGCTCCATGGGAGAAAGAGGGCACAGAGCCCAGGGCCAAGCCAGGGCGAGGACGGGCCCTGGCTCAGTGCCGGCCGGTAGGTAGGTGACCGCGATGGGGAGGGCCAGCCTGGCAGGCTCAGGCTGCAGAGCTGGAGTGGCCACCGCCTGCTTGTTTGTCTGTAAGGAGAGCAGGGGGGGAAGGGCAGCCCCAGTGCCGCAACCTGAGGCCAAGGGTGAATCCTTACTTGTTTGTGCATTTTAAGAACAACTTGGGGCCTCCAAACAGGCTGGCTTTCAGGTCTCTGCTGCAGGGTGGGGAAGGCCCCCTTGAATGTATCTTTCTTTTCAGGGTCAACCAGAGGCAAAACAAGATCCAGGGCTGACAAATGTTTGGCTGCCTCTGCCAGAGGAGAGAAGGGGAGAGAAGGCCCAAGAAACAAAGAAGGTCACCCATTGGAAGTGGCTGGTCGTTCCAAAACCCACCCCTGCCTGCAGGATTTGCTAGGTTACTGTCACCCAGCTTTCTAAAGAGTGACTCGGTCTTCTACTTCTGAGATCCCTACTGGCTCTCCCCAGGGAAAGAAAAGGGGGATGTTTTGTTTAAAAGAAAAGGGGTTACAAGAAAGAAAGGAAAATAACTATTGTTTTCATCCCTAATTTATAACCAAGAGGCCCTCATTGTTTCTTTCTTTCTGACTCAAATCTTTGAGCTGTTAATTATAAAAGTAGCTGGACTTGGCTCCAACGGCCTCACTATGTTCATGCTCAGCAATTAGAAAAACTCTGAAGAAAGTTTACTGAGTGATTATATATAATTAATTCCTAGTTACAGACTGAACACTGACCATTTTCTGGAGCTAATAAAAGCCGCTGCTTCCCCCTCCCCCTCCCCCACGTGAATACCACTTAATTTCCCAAAGCAGAAAGTGCATCCATCCTGGAGGGTCTTGGAGGGGGAAAAAAAAAAAGGAATCAAAAGCTCCAGTGTGTCTGTGTTTGTTCCTTGCAGCTGTCATCCTCTTTGGGGACCGAGGAGGCAGAAGGAAAAAGGAAAACAGCCCATCATTCTGTTCCTCCCTCTGCAATTTACCAATGTGGCAGAAGAACATTCTACCTTGATGAGAGAAGCAGGGGGGAGGAAGGGGGAGGCCCGAGGAGTGGAATGTAGGACTCTTCAGCCTGGGGAGCTGCTTTTCCTGAAAGGAACAAAGATGGTAGTAGAAATTTCCAGAACACCCCTTCTCAGTCCGGCCACTGCAACTGTCAATCTTTAACCTTTCCTCCCAGTCTATTGGTTCAAGAGCCAGAGAGAGGAAGCCCATTGGGCTGCTCCGTGGGCCCACACTGCTGTCTCTACCTCGTCCTGCTGCAATGCAGACATTCCTTCCCTTTAGGAACTGGGAAATAAAGGCTACTTTGAAAAGCAATTAACTTTTTACTGACCCGTGTTTGGTGATGGCCACAGTACCAGAGGAAAAGTGACCAGCTTGATCCAGGGCTGGGAAGGTGCTGGAGCAGCACACTTGAAAACAGGTCTTAGCTTTCCAAACCTGTGGGAGCCATTTTAATGCAAGCTTTTAGAGGACAAATGCTCTGCCCTTAAGTCTCCTTGCAGCCCAACAAACAAAATATTATGCAAACACTGAAGGCACCAAACCAAGCGTCTTGTGATTAGATATTGCTTCTAGGGAGACCACGAGAAGCTCAATATGAAATTTCCATTTAGAGCAAGGAGATAAGAACAAAGAAAATAGCTAAGTGTCTGAACTTCAGTTGGGGGGGGGGGGGCTGTTCCATATAAAATATCACCACCCTCTGCGCTTTGACTCTAACATACTGGTCCACCTTAGACTTCAACTTAGAATCTGGTGCATTTCTCCTTATTCAATGCACCTTCATCCAACTGGTGTCAAAAGTTGGGAGGCTGGACACTACTTTAAAAAGAAAAAAAAGATTAACTGACTTCATCAAGTTGGCATAACACAGATACTGAATATATTTCTAGCACTTAAAATCCTGCTGAATTGGTCTCCTAGCTGGAAATGTATGGAATGAATTTCCAAGGGAATTCTAAAGGTAACGCTAAGCAAAAGTTGACTTTTTTTTTTTTTTCACTTTTAAATCCTAGCTACAGCATCCAGAGATCAGGGGAAAAGTAGAAAAAGACAAATAAAGCCAAGTCAGGCCAGCATGCTTACAGATGTGTGGGTCAGGCATGGAAAAAGGCCAACTCTGTTGGTCAGTTGAGTCCTGAATGAAATCAAGTTTGGTGGTGGATGGGATTTTGCAATAAGTAACCCTAAAACTAAGTACTGACACCCCCACCCCCACAAGCACACCACCAGTTAGCTCCCCGCCCCCCATGTTTGTAGGGCTCTGTGACTCTAAGAACAAGCAGTTGCATTAACTAACAACAAGCAGACCTCCTACCCAGAGTCCTAAGATCCAAACAAACCCAGTTAAAGGTGTAGAAAGAAGCAAGAGAGGATGCCCTGAACATTTCTCCCCTGGCTGAGGGTAAACAGGAAGTGAAATCTTCCCTCCTAGCTGCAGGTTATCAGGAAAAACAGTGGATTCAAACAGTCACCTAAACTCCAAACTCTCTTTATAAAAGCTCTTATTTTGTTCCTGCTAATGAAGCCCCCAGCTGCTATAGCCAAGACCCCCTCTTCCAAACAGACCCCAAATGTTCACAAAAACTCTGGCTACATGGTCACAGAGGAAATGGATTGCTTTACTTACCCAACAAATGTTCAAGTAACCGTCTCATTTTTCCACAGTTAGGAAGAGAGAACAGCCTGGCAGATTTGGGACTTGATCAAAAACGAAATTGTTTTTAAACAGTTACATGGTATTATTAAAAACACACACCAGCACCACAACAATACAACCCAACAACTGGATAGGGAATGCTGTCAGGAGCCACAAACATGATTTTATTTCCTCTGCACTCTATCATACAGGAGCACAGAGGATGATACAATGTTTAAAACAAGGGAAAAATTGAAAACAAAGATAAAAGATACATTAGTTCATTGAAAATCATGCAAGAGTAGAAAGCTCAGGGCTTCAGGGTCCTCCCAGATTTTCTTTCTTTCTTTTTTTTTTTTTTTTTTAAGCAGGATGTTGTCCAAGATTCTCCCACCCCCCACCCCGCCCCCCAAACCCTATCCCTACTCCAAAAACTTCCTCCAGAGCCTAGCAAACACTTTCAGAAACATTTGCTGGCTGTAGGCTGGTTTGCAGAACACTCTGTTATCAAGCTAAGTCAGGAGCAAAGGCTGAACAATGTAGTTTCAAGGGAGAAGCTCTGGAGAGGAAGAGAAAGAGGAGGCACGCACCCGCCACCCACCTAGGCCCAGAGCTACCCTGGCTCCTGGCTGCTCTGCTGAGGGCTGGGCTCTCTTTCCAGCGCACGGCCTCTCTTGTCAGAACTTAGTCCAGCCTTCCCAGAACCTCTCTGGGAAGGCAAACTTGCCTGCTCTGCTGTCTGCCATGAGCGCTCCTTGGAGAGAAGCCTGCGTGTTCACCTTCCATTTTCTTCCCCCAGCAGGCATGTGACCCAAGAGAAGACAATAGTGCAGGGGAAACTGCTCAGGAGAGAAGGAGAGGGGAAGGGAGGGAAAGGAGGGGGAAAAAAAAGGGAAAGAAAGCTCCTCTCTTGGCATACCAGGGTCTAGCTTCAAACTATTCCAGAAACACCATGCCCTGGTGGAGGCAAAGGTGTGCCAGGCCCTGGCCAGGTTGCAAAACCAAGCTATGGCTAATGGCTACTCAGCCATGTGACCCAAGAAAGCAAAAAAAAAAAAAAAAAAAGGAGGAAAAAAAATCTCTCTAAACAGTTCCAAGTTAACCTAAGTGCTCTGGGGTGAGTGTGGCACAGCCAGCCACAGAGAAGTCACACTGCTCGCCCACAACTCGGATGTCTCAGAGGGAGGGGGAAAAAGATGGTTAAAAAGCCGAGCTTACCTCTGTGGATGCATTGTTAACACTGTGTAATGTCAATACTTATAAAACATGGAGGACAGGCTCCTAGTTCTCACAGAAAAAGGGTTTGGCACTTCGGCTGATGATCTGGCCGCCTAATAAAAGCTCACCCCCGATTGGCTGCGCCGGCCAATCGGAGTGTAAAGCGGCCCCGGATTGGCTGAAACACTTCCTGAGCGATTATCTTTGTGAGGCTCGGGTGAGCCAGAGCCATCCTGTGCATAGAAAAAGACAGGCTCAGCTAGGCCTTCTGCGGCAAGGAAAACTTGGGAAAGGGGCCCCCGCACGCACTTCTCCCACACCCTGGCTGGATCCCCCGGCACTGGCGAACCAGTGCGGCCAGCCTGACCTGCTCCTGCAGAGCCCGAGGCCCGAGGCCACGGGGAAGGCCGTCTGGGGTGGGCTGGAAGGGCTCACCCTCACCTGGCCCCACGGCCCTGGCCTGCTCCTCAGGAGAAAGGCCGGCCCTGCTCCTCGGCGAGCCGGCAGAGTGGTTCTCCAGGGGGAATGCTGAGCAGAGCGAGGAGCCCGGGAAACGCCCAGAGGGACAGGAGAAGGGCTGCAGGGAGGCCTCAGAGCAGCTCTGGTGCCAGCCCCAGGAACCAGCCCCAGGCCGCGGGGCTTCTCCCAAGACAGCCCCGGCCACTGCGGGGAGGAGGGGAGCAGGGGCGCGTGGTCAGGTCTGCACAGTCATTGTCAAAAGGCCTCCTGGAAAAGCAGGCCCGGGAGCCACTGCCGGCCAGGCCACAGTCTAACCTCTGGCCCCCCTCGGTCAGTCCTCAAAGGAAGAGCAAAATGGTTCCTGCCTCCCTGCCAAGCTGCCAAGGGGGGGGCCCTCTCCTGCTTACCCTAAGAAAAGCCAAATCCGTTCCTAGCAGGCCACAGGCCTCCACCTACTAACTTCCCTTCCCCTCCAGCCCCCTCCCCCACCCCTGAGGCCTGCTAAACCTGTCAGTTAAACAAAAATCTGACTTCCGTATTAGTCTGCTATGGCTGCAGCTTCCTGCCTGTTAACCCTCTCTCGGACTCTGGGTCTGGCTGGGAAAAAACGAGGCCCTGAGATCGCAGAAAAGGCCTGTGGAAAAGTACCAGCTGCAGCTCGCCGGGCAGATGCAGAAAGAGAGAGAGAGAGAGAGAGAGCCGCTGTCTCTCGCCTCTGCTTCCCGAGGAGGCGTGTACCTTCTGAATCCAGGGCACAGGCAGTCTGCCTCTCAGTCTGAGAAGCCATTTAAATCCAGAGGGAGAAAGAAAGATGTCAAACCCGGCCGGGAAACAGGCACCCTTATTACAGTGGGGCCCGCACACCCAGGTTAGCCCTTCCCGCCACTCCTCCCTGAAGTGTGTTCTAGGGAACTGGGCCCTCCTCAGTGGCACACAAATCCCAAGAGCTTCATAAAGATTCTTGCTTCAATTTATGTCCACGGAGACCGGCTTCTTTGGGCTCCGAAGGAGGATGCAACAACTACACAGACCTACACAGACCTACACTTGGTGGCCCCTCCCGCCCCCCCATCTCCGGCACTGCTCCCCAGTAAAACATTAACTAGTTTTTCCGAGCTGCTTATAATTCCACTCATCTCCATAGTGTTAGGAGGCCAGAGCCTGTTTCTTCCTAAAGCTGCCTTTGTGGAGAAGGCAAAGGAAAGGCAAATCCAAGTGGATCTTAAAAATGTTCAAGGAGGCTTTCTTTTTCTGCATTTATTTTGTTTTTAAACAATCAGGTGCTTAAAAATACTTGTTTTTTTAAAAATGCAAGCCGGAACAACAGAAGGTAAATAAGTGCCTTTCTTTACGAGCTACCCTGAAGTCTCCACTCCTTCGGAAAAGAGGACTTGTGGACTTTCTGGTCCCACACCATCCCACAAAGAAAACCAAGAGCAGATTGCTTGCTCTCCCTGCCCCCGCCCCCAGCGGTGCCTAGAGCGGGTGTGTAAATTCTTCCTGGCTGGGAATCTTAGAATCAGGATCTGGCCGGGGATCCAAACACACTGTACTGTAGGACAAGGCCCAGGCTTTTGAAAAGGGACAGGATTTTGTTGTTTTAGGTTGCTGATGCTGAGATGTAGCCACTTGGGCTGACAAAGATCCAGCACCCAGTGCAACAGGCAGAGGCCTTGCCAGAAGGGAGAAGCCGGCTCTTCCTGGGGAGGGGAACTTCCAGGGACAAATGGCAGAGGCCTGAGCCGTGGAGCTGTGCTCTCCTGGCTGTGCGGGCGGCAGCCCTCCACCATCCCACTGGGAACACGGTTTCTGCGGGTGCTGCTTTTGGGGGAACCAACAGGATGGCGGGGCTGGTGGCGGATCTGATGTGCAGCTAACTTCCAAGACCCGATGAGGAAATGAAAGCGGCCGCGGGTGCGCGTGGAGGATTTTAACCCTGGATTAAAGCTTGTTGCATAAGCAGCTGCCGCATCCTCCCCCCGCCCTCCGCCCTCTCCCCATCACTTGATCACTTGAAATGTTTTCTGGGGCAAAGAGCAGGAAGCTGCTGGCTTATTCTGGCAGCTCAGCCCCATTGGAGGAATGCTGCTGGCATTCGGGTAGGTCTGAGGTTATCTGGAAAACGACAGCTCGGCTGGGGACCGAGACAAAGGTATGGTGGCAGATGGAATCCTGGGAGGGATGCGGGTTGAAGAGGAAGCCAGGCGCGGCCTGCTAAGGGTCATTCCTGGACTTGGTGAAATGTGGCTAAGACACAGGAAATAAAGAAAGCCAAATGTTGCAGGCCTCAACCTGGAGACCCCTTTCTATCCCTTCTTAAAGCCCGAGTGCGGTGACTATTAAATGAGTGTTGCACAGACTGATTCCATGAAGGAAGGAGCCTTGTTAGGAACCTGGAAGTGGGCCCAGAGAGGTAAATGAGCTACCCTGCGTCACACAGCTAGCAACTGCTGTCACTCAGACTTCCAACCCAACTATGACCTCATATCCCTACCTTGCCCTGCTTCTAGACTCAAAAGCAGAGCTAAACCAAGCTCAGCAGGAACAAAAGGTTCGATTCTCCCAACATCAAATGCAACACCTGAGCTTTCTTTCAGGAGGTTCACCCCTGGAGATGCCCCTTGTGCTTTACCCCAAAGGAACTGGGTGAAGCTCTACATTAGACTCATCCACCCCCCTCAGTACTGACTGGGGCCGAGAAAGCGCCCCTCCCCCAGGAACCTCCAGCAAGGAGATTCCGCTTGACCATCTCCAAAATGCGCCTTTTACATTTCTCCAAATCCATGGTTCTCAGCCAGGGGCGATTTTGCCCACCACCTGGGGGAGCAGGGTGGGGGTCTTTGGCAATGTCTGGAGAGTTTTAGACTATCACCACTGCGATGGGGGCAGAGCCAGCATGTAGTGGGAGGCCAGGGATACTGCAGAATACCTAGCGTCCACGGGAGAGCCCCCACACAACTAGGAATGATCGGATCCAAAAGGCCCATTGTGCTGGGGCTGGGAATCCTCGGCTTAAATGAAAGGGAAACCATTTGCCTCTGGATAGAAAAGCCAGCACAGGCCTAAACAAGTAGGTTCCTTGGTGATATTAATAAGCAATGAGCTAATAAAAATAGATTAAAA